TTGCTGTTCCCAGAGCCCCGGCCAGGCCCCCGAGGCCCCAAGCTGGCAAATTCCCGCCGCTCCAGTTTTCTTGGAGCGTAGGATCTAAGGGCCTGGCGCCACGCAGACAGGCCCTCGCTGACGAAGCCGCCGCCGCCCGCTGGCCTTGGGGGGCAAAGCGAGCGCACACCGATCCCAGACCCCCTCGCGCGGTGAGAAAAACACGACGGCGGATGTTTCACTATCTTCGGCCTCTGGGGGCCCTCGCCGGATCTCGGGACCGTCCAAAAACGACGCATCGGAAATCTTCTGCCCCGGGTCAATCCAGACCCGCGGCAGTCAAGCCTTGCAGAATCCTGCAAGGCCCCTGCACCCAAACCCGGGTGGACGCGAAGGATCCTGCAGGATTCTGCCCCAAAACCCGGGTCAATGCGACCCTGGCCCCGCAGGATCCCACAAAATCGGGCGCTCTGGCTCACCCCCCTTTGCATGGAACCCCGTCTCTTGCGCCCCGAACGCAGGATGAAAAACCGGCCCCGGGGAATGGGTGCGGACACGTCGTTTATTTAAAATCGTGTTCACTTCTACTTCTGCTGGTTTCTAGTTGTTCCCGGCCCCCCAGTGGCCAGGAAGAGGCCCATGGATGGAACAACGAGAAATCCAAGGATCCCCCAAAAAAATCCAAGAACTCGAAGAAGTAGACATGAACCATGTGGACCTCCGGAGATCGACGCAAAAGGCAGCAGCGTGGAATGGGGACTCCCCGCTGCAATGTCCCGGCGGAAAACCGCGGGTCACGCCCGGAGGCCGCGAGGAGGACATCCACTTTTACGCCCATATCCTCTTTGACGTCCACCACCTCATCCTCCCCCGTCCTCCGCAACAAGTACCTGCTCGTGCACCTTCTCGGGCGGCGCCACCCTGGCATCCCCCTCCCCCTCGTCCTCCTCCCCCTTGCCATCCTGGTATTCCTCCTCCTCCTCCTCCTCGTCCTGCTGCTCCTCCTCCTCCTCCTCCTCCTGCTCCTCCTCGTCCTGTTGTTGCTCCTCCTCCTCCTCCTCCCTTACCTCCTCGTCCTCTCCCTCCCTCCTCCTCCACCTGCTCCTGCGCCAGATCATGAATAAGACGCGGCAGGCTGCGTGAATCAGACGGCGCCGATGCACCTACATCCGCGGTCAGCTTGCGCGCGGGTGAACGCGCAATCGATTCCCGCGGCATCGCCCCCCCAACTTCAAACTAGGCGGTGCAGCGGACCGTTCCTGTCAAAGCCTCGCCCCCCCCCCCCTCGGGGGCGGTTAACCCACCCATCCCGCTAGCAGACCGTGGAGGCCTTGAATAAGGAATCCAGTGTCTGGAGCCTTGTGAAGATCCACTTGCGTGGAACGGGGGGGGGGGAAAGTTGTCCACCCCCTATCATTGTGAGATCTCTACCCTCCCTCCGTCTCCTCTCCCTCCCTCCCTACTTCCTCCTCCTCCTTCCCGCATCCCTCCTCCCTCCCCCCTCCCTCCCACCCTTCCTCCGCATCAGATCCCCTGGAGGAGGGCGGCAGGTGAGCGGTGCGGTTGCGGTTGCGCGCCGCGGCCGGGTTGAAATGTGTCGCCCAGTTGGGGTTGCGGTTGCGCGCCCGCGGGCGGGTTGGAATGTGTCGCCCAGTTGCGCTTGAGCGCCCGCGGGCGGGTTGAAATGTGTCGCCCAGTTGCGGCTGCGGTTGCGCGCCCGCGAGCGGGCTGAAATGTGTCGCCCAGGTGCGGTTGCGTTTGCGCGCCCGCGGGCGGGTCGAAATGTGTCGCGTAGTTGTGGTTGCGCGCCCGCGGGCGGGTCGAAGTGTCGCCCAGGTGCGGCTGCGGTTGCGCGCCCGCGGGCGGGTTGACATGTGTCGCCCAGTAGCGGTTGCAGTTGCGCGCCCGCGGGCGGGTCGAAATGTGTCGCCCAGTTGGGTTTGCGGTTGCGCGCCCGCGGGCGGGTTGACATGTGTCGCCCAGTTGCGGTTGCGGTTGCGCGCCCGCGGGCGGATTGGAATGTGACGCCCAATTGCGCTTGCGCGCCCGCGGGCGGGTCGAAATGTGCCGCGTAGTTGCGGTTGCGGTTGCGCGCCCGCGGGCGGGTTGAAATGTGTCGCGTAGTTGTGGTTGCGCGCCCGCGGGCGGGTCGAAATGTGTCGCCCAGTTGGGTTTGCGGTTGCGCGCCCGCGGGCGGGTTGACATGTGTCGCCCAATTGCGGTTGCGGTTGCGCGCCCGCGGGCGGGTCGAAATGTGGCGCCCAATTGCGGTTGCGGTTGCGCACCCGCGGGGGGATTGAAATGCGTCGCCCAGTTGCGCTTGCGCGCCCGAGGGCGGGTTGAAATGCGTCGCCCAGTTGCGCTTGCGCGCCCGAGGGCGGGTTGACATGTGTCGCCCAGGTGCGGCTGCGGTTGCGCGCCCGCCGGCGGGTTGAAATGTGTCGCCCAGTTGCAGTTGCGGTTGCGCGCCCGCGGGCGGGTTGAAATGCGTCGCCCAGTTGCGGTTGCGCGCCCGCGGGCGGGTTGAAATGTGTCGCCCAGTTGCGGTTGCGGTTGCGCGCCCGCGGACGGGTCGAAATGTGTCGCGTAGTCGCGGTTGCGCGCCCGCGGGCGGTTTGAAATGTGTTGTTCAGGGTGCCCTCCTGACGTTCAGTCAGTCAATCAGTCAGTCAAGCAGTCAGTCAATCAGTCAATCAGTCAGTCAATCAATCAGTCAGTCAGTCAGTCAGTCAGTCAATCAGTCAGTCAGTCAGTCAGTCAGTCAGTCAATCAGTCAGTCAGTCAGTCAGTCACCGGCGGGCACGGAATTTCACCCGGCCCCGCCGGGAAAGCATGCCGCCCCCGGGGGTCTGCGGCCCAGCCCCCCCCCCCCACAGCAGGAAGCAGGAGGAGAGGCCGCGGGCAGCGGCGCGGCTGGGCTGGGGCCCCGAGGCCCGGCGAGGGGAGGCACGCGACGGCGCGGAGAGACCACGACAACCCATGACCCCCCTCGCGTCATGCACAAACCACGGCGGGAGGTTTTCAGTAGCTTCGGCCTCTGCAGGGCCCTCGCCGGGCCTGGGGGCCGACAAAAGACGACTCAGGATGAAGAGCCGATCCCGGGGAAGGGGACCGGGTCGGGAGGAGGAGGAGGGGAGGGGGAGGGGGAGGAGGAGGAGGGGGAGAGGAGGAGGAGGAGGAGGAGGAGGAGGAGGAGGAGGAGGACCTCTGGGGGTCGCGTCATGGAAAAAATCATGACGTCGGGGGTCTGGGGAAGAGCCAGGTCGATCTGCGAGGGCCCCAGTGGCTCGGAGGTGGAAGACGTGAGCGTCTTCTTATCGGCGTTTTGACATTGGGAGGAAGGGGAGGGGGGGGAGGGGGAGGAGGGGGGCAGGGGGGGGGGGGGTCTGGCTCCCGACCTCTGCGGAATGCAACCGTTTGCAGCAGTGCGTCCCATGGGGGAGGCTCCCCCTGCTCGAAAAACAGGCAACAGGCGCCAAAAAACGGCCAGGACCCACTCCAGGGGAGTGGGGGGCGGGAGGGGAGGGAGGGGGGCGCGAGGACCCGCGCCGATCGGCGCAAAGCAAGGCAGGAACAAAACGATCACGACGCCCGAGGTGTTTGTCCACAGCGCCCAGATCCTCAGACCCCCGACGTCATGTTTTTTTCATGACGCGACCCCCAGAGGTCCCGACCCCTTCCCCGGGACCGGCTCTTCGTCCTGAGTCGTCTTTTGACGGTCCCGAGGCCCGGCGAGGGCCCCCGGAGGCCGAAAATAGCGAAAAGCCCCCCGCCGTGATTTTTTGACGGCCCCGAGGCCTGGCGAGGGCCCTGCAGAGGCCGAAAATAGCGCAAAGCCTCGCCCGCCGTGATTTTGTCATGACCCGAGGGGGTCTGGCTCCGCGGCTGGGGACACCAGGCGCTTCCCCGGCGCCTCCACTGCTGCTCCTGGCCGCCGCCCGCGCCGGCGGCCTGCCGCTCCCGGTAGCTCTCGAAGCCCCTGGCGAGCGCCAGCTGCGGGGCGAGGCCCGCGCGCCGCGCCTGGCGCAGGCGGCCGCCCATCCAGTTCATGGCCCCCGCTTTTTCGACGCCAGGCGCCAGAATGCCTCGGGCCCAGAGCACGGAGGGCAGCACAAGACGGGTGCGGCGTGGCGACCGCGGTCCTGCGGGCGTCGGTCTCTTGGCAGGCTCCAGCGCGGCCCGGGAAGCCCCCGCGATCGTCCCCAAGACGGCGCGCAAGCCCCAAAGAGAGGCCCAACAGGGGGAACCCGAATTGACATTGGCAGCCCTCCGCCCCAAGACGGCCCCCTGATTCCTCAATTCCCACAATGATTATCCGAGAAGTCCTCTAGGTTCCCTTTGGAATCGAGGGGGAGGTCAGAATCCCGAAGGGTGTCTCACGAACCTGTTAGAATCCCACCAGCCCTCTGGGCGTAGGTGGCATAAGGAGCTCGTTCTTCTAACCCCTTGTCATCCTCTTCTGGGAGGGCCTCCCCCTACCCCGACCAGGGCTTCGTGAGAGCTTAAAAGGCCCAAGAGGGCTTCAAGAGACTCCAAGAGGGCTTAAAATGGCATCAGATGGCTCCAAGAGGGCCCAATATTGCCCAATATGGTCTCTGAGATGGTCTCCAAGACTGTTTCCAACATGCCCACAAGAGGCCCCAAGACCGCGGAAAGTCTGCTACGAGTGGCCTCGGAGCCTCCCAAGATCGCCAGGTGTGCCTAAAAGCTAAAGAGTGGCGGAGTAGAAGCAGGGAGGAGGAGGAGGAGGAGGAGGAGGAGGAGGAGGAGGAGGAGGAGGATGATGATGATGCTGATGCTGATGCTGATGATGATGCTGATGATGATGATGATGATGATGATGATGATGATGATGATGATGATGATGATGATGATGATGATGATGATGATGAGATGATGAGATGATGATGATGATGATGATGATGATGATGATGATGATGATGATGATGATGAATGATGATGCTGATGATGATGATGATGATGATGATGCTGATGCTGATGCTGCTGCTGCTGCTGCTGCTGCTGCTGAGGAGGAGGAGGAGGAGGAGGAGGAGGAGGAGAATCACTCGGCTGGTTTTACGGCGCTGGCTTCCAGGAAGCGGTCGGCATCCTCGCCTCGTCGCCGCGCCCCGGCTCCCTGCCGCTCACACGAAGCACGGCGAGCTCCATGCCGCGACCAACGAGCGCCACGGCCACCAGCTGGCGACCCGAGGCGTCCTCCACAGAGCCAGGGGCAACCGAGAGCGCCTCCGGCTCCACGCAGCGGGCCGCGTGGGGCTCCTCCTGCACGGTTTCCCCCGGGGCCGTAGGCGACACGAGGAGGAGGAGGAGGAGGAGGAGGAGGAGGAGGAGGAGGAGGAGGAGGAGGAGGAGGAGAAGGAGAAGGAGGAGGAGGACGCCTAAGCCTTTCGGAGAAACCCTGCAGCTCCTCCCCCGGGCGCAGGCAGGGGCACCCGCCAGAGGCGGCGGCGCCGTCGGCATCCAGGTCCCAGACGCGGAGGCGGCGGTCCAGCCCCAGGCTCAGGAGCCTGCCGGCCGCCCAGGCGACGGACCGCACAGAGGAGCTGTGGGCGCCGCTGAGGCGCCGGGAGCCGAGGATCCGCAGAGGCGGGCTGGCCTGGACCTCCAGCAGCGCCAGCGCGATCTGCTGGTCGTCCCCGGCGCTCGCCACCAGCAGCTGCCCCGGGCAGCCCCAGCCTGGCAGGACAGCCAAGTCGTTCACGCCCGCGTCGTGCAGCTGCGCGCGCGGCCACGGAGCGCCACGAGGGGTCGGCTCCTCGGCGGGGTCGATGTCGAGGCTGCAGCCGACCATGAAGCCGTCGGCCGTACCTACCAGCGCGCCACGGCCCGCGCCCAGAGTCGCCAGGCACCTGACGCAGAGCGCGGCGGTGGTCGCCACCCGCACCTCGCGGGCCACGGTGGCGCCGACCTCCGAAGAGCCCACGGCGCTGAGCAGCCAGTACCGCAGCAAGCCGACCGACGACGCGGCTGTCACCAGCAGGTCCCCGTCGTCGAGCTGCAGGCAGTCGATGGCCATGACGCGCTCCTCTGGCTCTGCACCGCCGCCGTCCTCGCCGGGCTCCTCGGAGTCCAGGGCCTCCGCACCCGCGTCGGTCTCCTTGTCGTCCGCCGCGCTGGGCCGGCCCGCCGCTGCCGCTGCCAGCACAGGCCCAGGCATGGGCGACCAGACGAGCCGCAGCGAGGGCCCCTCCTCGAGCGCGTAAAGCCGCAGAACGCCCTTCGCCCCGCCCGACAGCACGACCACGCTGCCGCCCAGCCTCGCGGAGGCCACGGCGCGGACGGCGCCGGGGTGCTGCTCGGAGCCCTGCAGGGGGATGATCCGCATCGCATCCTCGCCGCGCAACGGGGCGCACTGGGTCAGCCGCAGCGTGGTGTCCTCCGCAGCCGTGGCGAAGAGCCCAGGCCGCTCGGCAGTGGGGGCAGAGACCCAGGCCACCGAGTGGATCTCCCGCCCGTGCAGGGGCTGTCGCAGCGACGACGGCGAGGACGCCGATCCGCAGGCCGCGCCCGGCTCCGTATCGTGCACCTCCAGCGTCTTCGAGCCGGAGGAGTACGCGAACGTGAAGCCGGTCCGCGTGGCGTGCAGGACGCTGGGGCGCTTTCCCCCGCCGCACCTGTGGCGCCAAATCCCAGCGCAGTGCTCCACGTCCCAGAGGACGAAGTCGGCGCCCTGGAACGCGCCCAGCAGGGCTGGCATGCCATCTCCGGGGAGCGGTGGCACGAGGTGGGACAGCTGCCTCAGGCCGCAACCGGGCCGCACGGTGGTCAGCTGCCGCCAGGCCCCGCAAGCCTCCAAGCGGTGGAGGACGATGGCGCCGTCGCTCCCGCTGGAGAGGAAAGAGGCAGAGCCGTCGGTGGCACCACTCCTCACCTCACAAAGCGACAGCACCTTTCCGCCGTGCACGCCCCGGCAGCACGACGCGTCCCGCAAACCAGCGGCGTGGACGCAGCCGTGCTCGTCGCCGACGGCCCAGACCAGGCCGGGGCACCCGAGCGTCTCCGCCATGAGCTCGGAGCCCGCCTCGCCCACGCCGAGAAGCACGGCGCACAGGGGGCGCTGGTTCTTCTCGCCCGGAGGCTGCTGCAGCTGCAGCTGGCCCAGCCCCTGGAGGCCCCCGGCCATGCGCCAGAGGCTCAGCCGGCCGCGGTGATCCGCGAGCGCGCCGTGCCCGCCGCGGCCGGCAAAGGCCGCGCCCACGCGGCAGTGCTCGAAGGCCTGCAGCCTGCACTCGCTATCGGTCCAGGGCGCAGCGCCACAGCCCGACAGGACGACGGCGCTGCCGTCGGCGCAGCCGAGCCACAGAAGCGCTGCTCCCGAGGGCTCACGCTCCCAGGCGCCCAGGCAGGTGAAGATGGTGCCCTCCGCGGCACGATAGAGCTCCTCTACAAGAAGAGGAACAACAACAAAAAGCGGCATAAGCATTACGTCGGGCATGTCCCCCTGCAGGCGGATTATATAGGAAAATGCAAGATACGCAAACCATACTCAACATTACACCATCTTACTTCTTTATATATATGTATATATATATGGAGAGAGCGAGAGAGAGAGAGAGAGATCGTCCCCATATTATTTTTGCAATTGTTCCCTACCTAGGCTCTGCCTAGAGGGTTCTTACTCTCTTAGCTTAAAGGGGCCGGGCAGTGTAAAGCGCCCCGGGCGGTTCCCCCAGTCCCCGCCCCGCGGTTCCCCCAGTCGCGCCCCATTAGCTTAGCTTTGCTTATCTCAGCTTAGCCTAGCTTAACTTAGCCTAGCTTAACTTAACTTCGCCTAGCCTAGCTTAGCTCAGCTTAGCTTAGCTTAGCTTAGCTTAGCTTAGCCTAGCCTAGCTTACCTTAGCTTAGCTTGGCTTGGCTTGGCTTGGCTTAGCTTAGCTTAGCCTAGCTTAGCTGTGCTTAGCTTGGCTCTGCTTAGTTTACCTTAGCTTAGCTTAGCTTAGCGTAGCGCAGCGCAGCATTAGCACAGCACAGCATAGCATAGCATAGCCAATCCTAGTATAGCATAGCATGGCATAGCTCAGCATATCATAGCATAACACAGCATACCATAGCATATATTAGCGCCGCATAGCATAGCATAGCATAACATTGCTTAACCTAGCACAGCGCAGCATATCATAGCATAGCACAGCATAGCATACCAGAGCATAGCGCAACATAGCATAGCATAGCATAGCATAGTATAGCGCTGCATCGCATAGCATAGCCTAGCTTAGCATAGCATAGCCTAGCATGGCATAGCGCAGCATAGCATAGCATAGCATAGCGCAGCATAGCATAGCATAGCCTACCAAAACACAGCGCAGCCGAGCGTACCCTAGCATAGCATGTAGCTGTCGGTGTAGATGTAGATGTTGCTTTCATAGATGCTCCAACTCCTAGGTAGGGTCGCACTAGGATAATTTTAAGATTCCTTCTGTAGAGGGACACGCCCGACTTAGCATAAGCATAAGCTCTTGGCGCGCCGCGCGGACTTCTTCCATCTGCGCCGGACTCCCCGATACCCTGCAGGGGCATGGCGCGCGGAGCGCACCCGGGGCGGCGCCGCAGGTGCCGCCGGGGGGGGGGGGCCCGGCGCGCGTCCCAGGAGTCCGCGCGAAAAGCGCCACCCGTTTACGTTTATGGCGGCCCGCCATAAACGTAAACGGCCTCGGTCCTCCTGTTCTTGAAGGATGTTATTGTGTCCGAAGCCGGGCCGTAAAAAAGGATTCCGGACGAGGAAGTGGTCTTGTGAGAAGGCCCCGCCATAAACTTTTACGTTTATGGCTTTCCGGTCCTCCTCGGCCAGGCCGCCGCCAGGCGACCCGAGGGCGACCTGGTAGACGCGGCCGAAGTTCGTGGCGAGCACCACGGCGCCCCCCCCGAGCAGCGCCACCTCTCGAGCAGGGGCCGGCCGCCCAGGCATTCCGTTTGTGGCCCACCACGACATGCTCTTAGAACCCAAAGACGCGCTCTAAGAACAAAGCAATGTTCTCAGAACATAAACTGTAACCCAAAAGACCCTAGAGCCAAGACAAAAGCCCTAAAACGTTACCCTGGAACCCTAGAGCAAAAACTGTGCCAAAGGAGAAAAAGCCCTAGAACCAAGACAGCATCACCCAGCGATGTTCTAAGAACGTCTCGTGCAGACCACAAAAGGCTCTCAGATCATGCTTTGGTGGGCCTATCGGCGAGCCAGGACGCTTCGCCACTGCTTCAACCTCGCGGATCCAGTCGGCCGCGCCAGGGACGGTCCAGCGGCGCTGCCTCGTGCGCGCCGCCGCGGCCGCCTCGCCAGCCTCCAGCGGCCACGTCTTCACCGCCCCGTCCTCGCCGCCAGAGACGAGCGTGGGCCTCGGCGACCCCCACGCCTGAGGTCGGGCATGTCCCCTTGCTGGCGGATCTTGGCACGAAAAATTAAAAGTACCCTAAAAATAATCAAGAACGGTCAACACATAGACGGCAAATCGTCCCCCTCCTGTAGAGGGACACACGCCCGACTTGACCCCACGCCTCCAGGCACCGCACGCCCCGCGTCAGGTGCCCCCGCAGCTCCCGCAGGCACGCGCCCGCGACGGAGAACAGGCGCACCACCGAGTCCTCGCATGCCGAGGCCACGCCCACGCCGCCGCCCGCCCCGAGGGGCACCACCACGGCGTCCCAGACCCGCGCGCCGTGGCCCCGCAGCACGGCGCGGCAGGCCCAGCCCTCGCCCTGCGCGGCGGCGGGCCGCAGGCCCTCGGGCACGCGCTCCGCCGCCCCCGCGCCGCTGGCAGACCTGGGAGAAGAAGAATCGCCACAAACATAAACTTGTGGCGCTCCGCGCGGATTTCTTGGGTCTGCGCTGGGGCCCCCCTCCCTGGCGCGCGGAGCGCGCCAGGGGCGGCGCCTCGAGGCGCCGCCGGGGGGGGCCCAGCGCGGATCCAAGAAATCCGCGCGGAGCGCCAAAAATGTATGTTTGTGGCGATTTCTCGTCTTCGAAGGCCAGAGCCGCACGGTGCGGTCGTCCGAGGCCGAGAGTGCGACGCAGCCGCCGTACAGCAGCCGCACCCGGAAGACGGCGCCCTGGTGGCCGGCGAGAGTGGCGAGCGTGGGCCGGGCCACGGCAGCCTCCGGGTGGGCTTCTCGCTGCTCGCTGCCACGAGCGATGGCGCTCCACAGGACGATGCTGCCCTCGAAGGTCCCCGTGGCGCAGAGGAGGCGCGCGGCGTCCGGTCCGGGAGCGCAGGGCCTGCAGAGGGACGCGGTGTACGAGAAGGCAACGCCCTCTGGGCCGGCAGCGCGCAGCAGCCGCTGAGGCGCCGCCGGCCCAAAGCGCCAGAGCTCCACGAACACCCGTGCGAAGGCGACCGCCAGCAGCCAGCCCTGGCCCTGGCCGCCGCCGCCCGTCGGCGGCGCCACGCTGCTGGGCAGCTCGTCTTCGCACAGCCACGCCACGTCCAGCGGCCAGTCAGGCAGGCGCGCTGGCTGCACCAGGGGGCTGAGCGGGCGCGCCCCCAGGGACAGCGCCACGAGGGCGAGGTGCTGCGGCCCAAACACGGCGGCCACGTCTCCTGGTGGGCGTGTTTTCCACCACCACCATCATAAGGAGGAGGAGGAGGAGGAGGAGGAGGAGGAGGAGTAGGAGGAGGAGAGGGAGAGGAGGGAGAGGAGGGGGAGGAGAGAGGGGTCCCTCCTCCTCCTCCTCCTCGTCCTCGCCTCCTCCTCCTCTCTGTCCTCCTCCTCCTCCTCCTCCTCCTCCTCCTCCTCCTCCTCTTCGTCCTCCTCCTCATCCTCCACCTCCTCCCCCCCCTCCAACTAATGGTGGTGGTGGTGGAAAACACGCCCATGATCTCCGTCTGGATCACGGACGCGAATGCCGTGCACGTGGGCGTTCCTGGCGCAGCAAGCGGCTACCGATACCGCCACTCCCTGACCTCTGACGGGGCGCGTCGTGACCAGAAGCGCGAGGCGACATCCGGCCGAGGCGACGAGGGCCTCCCGGGAGGCCCAAGGAGGGCGAAGACGAGGCAGGGGGCAGCGGCATCTCGGTGCCCTTTTCCTCCTCCTCCGAGCTCCCGCCGAGGACGCAGGGCAGCCGGTGCCACGCGGGGGCGCCGGCTGCGGCTGCGGCGGCACCCTCTCCCAGCAGCAGCGCGTGCAGATCTGGCCCCACGCCGGCGAGCAGCAAGGACGCGCCGCCGGTCCCGCCGGCCTCGCTGGGCAGTGTGGCGGAGGCGACCGCGAGCACCGGGCCCGCGTACGACCTGCTCTCAATGGAGGCGCCGCGGCCGCCTGGCGCCTGGGGGTCCCAGGAGGGCGCCGCGGACATGGCGCGCCGTGGCCGCGCTTCCCACAGTCGGATCCCCTTCGCTCCCCGCTCGCCCCTCCTCCCAAGCTCGAGACGAGGCTGCGGAGCCACCTGCCCGCTCGCGCCCCAGGAGAGGCACGGTCGCTTCATCCAGCCCGCGCCAGATCATCGAATCAGCCCAAGGTGGCCCGAAAATGCCTCCGACACCGCCCAAGATGGCCCAAAGACGGCCTAAGAGGCCTCCAAGAGGTCCTCCGGAAAGGCCAGAAGATGCCAAATGATGTTTCCAGTGCTCCCACCCACCTTACGGTGTCGGGTCCTCAGTCGGAATTCGCAGCGCTCCTCGTCTCACCCACTCCACCTACTCCCCCTCCATCCTTTGCTCTCCGCGTGCCCATGTCTGGCACACCCCTCTTTTCGTGACACCATGAGGAGCTCCACCGAAGCCCCCAGGGGGTGGGGCTGCATGCGGTCCCCCCATGGGGGGGGACATGCGGTCCGCCTCTCTTTCTCTATCGGGGGCGACGATGGAGGCGAATAC